CACACTCGAAACCTCTTTCAATCGTTTTCACTCTATCTCTCTCTATTTGAAATTCCTCTAAGTATGTGAAATCTCTCTCAAATATCTCTTTGTATGATAAATCTCTCCAAGAATGTCAAATCTCTCCCAAATCTCTCCAAGTATGTGAAATCTCTCTCAAATATCTCTCTGTATGAGAAATCTCTCCAAGAATGTCAAATCTCTCCCAAATCTCTCCAAGTATGTGAAACCTCTCTTAAATATCTCTTTGTATGAGGAATCTCTCCAAGAATGTCAAATCTCTCCCAAATCTCTCCAAGTATGAGAAATCTCTCCCAAATCTCCCTCAAATAGTTCCCGTAACTTTTTAGAATCATTCGGGTCATTCCGACCCTTAACCGGGTCAAAAACGGCTTAAAACGGGGCGAAAACGATAAAAATAGGCTTTAGGAACCGAAACCAAGAAGAGAGGCCTCTTAGGACCAGAACCGAGCCTCTGTTGGCTGAGGCATGCGAGACCGAGCCTCGGTCTCTCTTCTGGTCGCTCGGTCTCTGTCTTCTCACTCTCTGTCTCTTCTGGTCGCTCGGTCTCTGTCTTCTCACTCTCTGTCTCTTCTGGTCGCTCGGTCTCTACTCCGCCTCTCTGTCTCTTCCCTCCTCTCGGTCTCTACTCCGCCTCTCTGTGTCTTCCCTCCTCTCGGTCTCTGCTCCTTCTCTCCTCTCTGTCTCTTCGCGCCTCTCTGTTCTCTTCTTCCCTCTCGGTTCCTGCCCTCTCTCTTCTCCACTCTTGGTTCCTGCTCTCTCCCTTCTCCCCTCTCGGTTTCTACCCTCCCTCCTCTCGGTTTCAGCATCAGAAGGCCGAACCTCGGCCAGAATTCGGAAAATTGTCACTTTTAGCCCATTTTTGATATTTTTAACATTTTAAGCCCGTTTTTCGTGATTTTAAAGCGGGATTTTCTCCAGAAATTATATTTTAACATAATAAACCCTAAATATTCATAATTTAAACATATTTTGATGAAAATCATTATCTAAATAATAAAAATCAAATGGGTGAATTATTAAAGGTGGAGTGTTGACTTTGCCTTATCCAATGTCACAAGCAACCACCCCACACCCACTCCATGACCAGCCATACCTCCCCACCTTACCTAAGTCACATCAATACCCCTTGCACTCATTTTCCATCCATTCCCACGTTTTTAGAGCTGGAACAAACATCCTCTCTCCTCATTTCTCTCATTTTCTCTCATTTCACTAAGTATCAAACACCACTTTTCTCTCAAACTTTTTCTCCACCAAACTCGAGATTCAAGGCTGATTATCAAGTGTTCTTCCACATTTGGTAAGCATAATCCATTCTCCTTATAATTATCTCACTTATTTCCACTCAAATCATGGATATCTTACACAAACTCCATCATATTTGTGTTAGAGCTTCGAATCTTCAAGTGATTCTTCAAGTGTTCTTGGCTTGAACACTTCTCTTCTTCAACACTTATCTACTGAAATCACTCAAGGTGAGTTCATACCCCTACATTTTCATGTTTTCTCAAGTTTTCAGGGGGGGGGGGAATACAAGTTAAAACACTAAGAACATAACTAAAATTTTCTAACAGCCTTCATCAGAAAAGTTCAACTCCATTCACGGACTGTTTTGGGCATCTTAAACATTTTTGTTTAAAAAACTGTACAAGGTGCAAATAGTTCAAGTTTTTTAGCTTTAAAATGAATCTTTGCACATCTCCATATGATTTTTCTACAATTTATGGTGATTTTTACAAAACTGCCTATCATTTCAAACAACAACCCGGACCAGTCTGTGATTATGGACTTTTTCATCCAAGTTGGAGGTCGTTAAAAATCGTGATAAAAATTATGAGTAAACTAGACACATTTTTTTGAACTCTCAGAATTTACGGATCTAGTTTTCGACTTCGTATGATTTTTCTATGATTTTTCCAAAACAGGGCAGAATGGCTAAAGTTAGCCAACAACATGTAAATATCATAACACTTTGTATTATGTTGAGCAAAGTGTATAATCATAAGTTCTAATTATTGAATGTGTTTCCTTGTTAGTTTGTCATCATGAACTGAAACTAAGTAATTCATAATAAATATTAGTCATTCATTTTAGAACACGTATATTAAACTATAAAGGTGTAGTTTGACAAATTCATAACACTAATACATTTTCATAAAAGAGTTCATACATATTACATACATTTTAGATAAACTATAATAGGTATAGTTTATGATACATCACTCAACACACTCGTACAAAAAGGGTACATTCATACAAGAAAGATTTATATTCACACACATTTCACGTAAACTTGTTATCCTATATTGTGAGACTCTCTCTCTCTCTCTCTCTCTCTCTCTCTCTCCCCGTACGTCCGAGTGCGGGATATAATTCCTGGTAGTTATAATCAGAATCTCCTTGAGGGAGAACGTGATACTTGTATATAGATCTATATTGGGTTTGACACCCCACACCTTGCTGCTAGCTACAGTGGGACCTGCAGGTCTACGGGTGACAAATGTCATTTCAGTTTTCGCGATGCCTGAGAACGTCGTGGCAGGTTCACATAGTCATAGTATGATTATAGCGACTCACATAGGATATAACAATCCATAAGTTTACGGGATTTTATTTTTAAAACCTAAATGAGTTTTATGTCGATTTAAAATCCCTTTTTATCTCTATGAGTACAGATTTTACTGTACACTTTTGGTTTTGGTAGTTACGACTACACATCATTTGAAACCACATTTATACCTTTAAGTATGGTCAATACTTGTTATTACTCGGTCCTCTAATTTAGGACTACATATATATAATGTATTAACAAACATGAGAACGTACAGAAATTTCATTTAATTCAAAAGCGTCCATGTCCATTTAAATACATAACATTTTCTATTAATAAGAAAGGTTACTTATACATTTTGGTCTTCAGTCATAAGACTACATTACACAGATTTTAAAGAAAATATCGGATTTTCTGGATACATATTCTAACGCTTTTACAAGGAAAACGATTTACTTTTCTAACGAAATCTCTTATGAACTCACCAACCTTTGTGTTGACACTTTTCAAAACTACTTGTATTCTCAGGAATTCAGTGAAAACAGGAAATCAACAACGTTTTGAGGATGGGACGATAAATCGTCAAACAGTTCATTTTGTATCATAATGTAATTGATGTGAATCATGTAAACATGTGCTTTGATGTAACGTTTTCAATTATATTTGTGTTGGTTGTATTTACTTTGAGCACTATTATACTAATTGTTGTGATACTCTACATGAAGTCATCCACCCTCAGACGTTTCCGCCATCCTTGGTTTGGGGGTGTGACAAAAAGGTATATATATCAGAAAACACAAGGGTTTTTACCTTTACAAATATAGTAATTAACTATAATAAACAAAGTTATATCCATTGCATTTAAACGTTTTGATAAACTGTAATAGGTATAGTTTATGATTCATTTATGCTACAAACTCAGTACTAAAGGTTTCATTTACACAAAAAGGGTTTTCATTACAACAAACATTTTGATAAATTATAATAGGTATAGTTTATGTTTCAATTCAATACAAGAAAGGGTTTTCATTTCACTACACGTAAATCCGTTAATGACTAATTTGTGAGACATTGCTTCACGGTACTTTTCAAGTGATGCATTTAAGTCTTGTACTGTAACCAAAGTCTCTTGTAGGGAGAGTGTGATAGTTGTGTATAGATCTATATTGGGATTGACACCCCACAGCTTGTTGTTAGCTGCAGTAGGACCTCGAGGTCTACGGGTGACAAATGTCATAACATTTTTGACGCATGAAGAACGTCGGCACATGCCATCTAGGTCATAGCATGGTTATAATAAATCACATGAAGTATTAACAAAACATAAAATTTACGAGGATTTCATTCATTTAAACTTACTTAGACTATAATTAGTATGAAAAACACTATTACATTTTCGATCTTTTACATTCCACCTAGAATTGTTAGTTTTCAGCTATAGTTATTAAGTGTATATGCTAGAGTTATATAAAATTTAGTCGCGATCAACTTAGAATTGGTGGGCCCGCCTTATTTCTTGTTCCTTGTTTGGTTGTGGGCCTAAGGCAGACCCATTACATTCGACGGTTTATTTAACTTTAATTTTATATAACTTATATACATTGGAGATTATAGAAGGAAAACTAAAGGTCTTTCTAGGATACATTATTGCATAACATAGGAGCTTTCATTACACATTTTATAAAGAAAATATTGGATTTTCTGGAACCATACTCTATCGCTTTTACAAGGAAAATGACTTCTTTCTCAAATAAAGCTCTTATGAACTCACAAACTTAATTGTTGACACTTTGTCAAAACTACTTGTATTCTCAGGAAATCAGCGAACAGGTAATTAACTGCTTTTGAGGACGGGACGCTAAGGCGTTAAGTTTAAAACTTATTTTGTCATCATAATGTAATTTATTTGGAAACATGTAACTCGTGCAACGATGTAACATTTTAAATTATATTTATGATGGTTGTGTTTGCTTTCTTCGCTATTATATTCATTGTTATGATACTGCCCAAGAAGTCCTTCCCCCCGAACGTTTCCGTCATCCTTGGTTTGGGGGTGTGACAAAACACTCTCTATATTCGAAAGCATAATCGAGCTGAAACAAGATTATATTTACTCTCGATGTTCATAATTTTGTAGTACTCTAATTTCATTTCATTACTCGATTAACAGACCTCTTCAATTGGTATCAGAGCAGGAATCATACTGTAGTGATCTGATTTTCATCTTGTATCGATCGTATTTTGAGTCTTATCTTAGATTCAAAAGTTTCCGCATTTTTGATATTAAATTTCATCTTAGATCTTCAATTGTGATTCAATTCTGCAACTCGTTTGTTTAATTGAGTGTTTTGTTTGCTTTTTCTGAACAATTCAATTCTTAATTATCAAATTTCTGAAGTATTTCTAAGAATTCATTTATACATCAATGGTGAATTTCAATATGCACACCATGACATCTTTTTCTCATATGCTAGTATCTTCAACTAAGATTCCTATGCTTATTCCAAAATATTATAATCAATGGGTTGATCACATGGAGGATTATCTAAATGGACTGGATGAAGAACTTTGGGATTGTATTGATGGAAACAATCTTCCACCAAGGAATGTTCAAAATATTGGTTCATTTGCTACATCTCAAACTGTTAATGATCATACTGAAAGACTAAAGAAGAATGAGAAAATATGTATGAGGGAGTTGCGTGGTGCATTGCCTCCAGTTGTTTACAACTATGTCAGAAGTTGTAAATCTGCTAAGGAAATCTGGAATACTCTCAAAGAAAATTTTTAAGGGAGTAAAAAGACAAAGATCACACTTTACCGTGTCTTTGAAAATCACACTTTACTGGTTATTCAAAGTTATACTTGCAAATGTAGTTGGCGACTTATACAAGTGGGAGACTGTTGGATTAGGGTGTCTAAGGTCTTAACTAAATTTGTATAATTTACAAAATAAAATTAAGTGTTTTTTGGATTGCATTCATAATCAGGAAATAGCTTGGACTGATCATAAGAGAGAGGGAGAGAGAATGATTTATTAATATATTATATGATTAATATATAAAGTGAAAATAATAATAATTAATTAAGACTTAATATGAAATTAATTTTAGGTTAATTAAAATTAATTAAAGGTATATGGACTGGACTGTAATTGTTCAAAAGTTGAGTAGATAAGAGAATTCATAACCTTCCTAGGGTGGCTAGTTTTAAGGCTCTTCTAGAAGGGTCATAGAAGCCTCCTAATCAAATAAGGAATCTAGATATGTATTGGATTACAATATTATTATTTTAAATTCAAATATAGGATTTTATGGATTATCTGACATTTATATAAATGGCCATAAGCCTTATGACAACCGATTCTACACCTCACATATATAAAATCTAGATTTTCTACATCTCCCATATCCCTTATATTACATCCTAAGGTTTCCTAGGATTTTGATGTGACACATTAAATGTTACCATACTATTGGAGCTAGGCTTTCCAAGGAGATTTCAAGAAGACTTGTTTGCCTTAATTAAATTTAAGCAAATGTATGTTTTCTTACTTGTAATTTTCGATTACAATAGGGTTAGAAGTATTGTTTTATAAAGTATGTTGCTATAATAGTGAAAATGTCATAGATCTTTTTAGTTTGCATGTACCTATAGGTGTTTATGTGATATTCTACAAATACATTGTTTTTGTAACTTAGAAAACCCATCATTTCATGTCCTTATGTGTAACTCAAGAGGATTTTGTTATTATTATTATTAATAGTATAACCAACTATTATGTATGTGGACATATATCCAACAATTGAACTCATTATGACTAATGTATTTCCTTCACCTGATGTATTGTAGTTGGTATTACAATTAAATGAAATTTATATTAGTATTAAATATAGTTGATATTATATTATCATAGTTCCTAATATTAATAGTACAATGCTATTACCAAAACCAGAGCAAGTAAAACATGATTTCAGTATTCCGACGACCCACATATGAAAACACCTCATTAATTATTATTCTACGTAGGATGTCACATGAGCAAACCTGAAGAAACTTATCATAATGACTGAATATATACAAAAACAACAAAGACTTATTTTGTATAAAAACATTAAGGATTAAATGTATACAAACTAAGAACCTAATCGGTTATAATGACAATGTGTACAAAACAATAGGGGTGTTTGTTTGGATGGATCGGTTCGATCCGATCCAATTAAGTAAATACAAATGGATTTCGGTTTTCAAAATATGGATCTAAATAGTCCAAACTAAACTCAAATCCAATCCAATTACAATTCGGTTGGATCGGTTTTTATAATTCGGTTTTCAAAAACCATAACATTTTCAAAGGACATATAATTATAATATGATCTAATTTTACAGAAGAAGCAAAAACAAATTATTTACTTGTGATTTAAGATTTATAAACAACCACTAAGAAGACATATTATAGTTTATTATTTAATAGATAAAAAACTTTTGACAGAAAGTACATATTAATGTCTTTTACAGATAAAACCATTTGAACTTATTTAAAAAAATTATAAAATTAATAAATAAATATAAATATATTCAAAACAAAAACATAACCAATTGTTATTCGGTTTTTTTGGACTATTTGGTTCTTATTTTATAAACCAAAACCAATCCAAAATCAAAAATAATAATTCAGTTTTGTTGAAAACTAATCCAAAAATCCGAATATCCGAACCAAATAGTCTAATCCAAATTATCCAATTGGACAATTCAGTTTTATCCAAACAGCAAACATCCCTACAAAACAATAAGTTACCGAACTTATTTAAGGAAAAAAAATGACTAATCGTATATAATAATTGAAAATGTAAAAAACAGTAAGTAAAATATAAAAACCGAAAACTATGTTACTTATGTTACTTTAAAGATCATTTTCGATATTTAAGATTGTGAATCCACGTTCAACCCCATCCGCCATCGCCCCTATACACGTTTGAAAGATGATTAGAACGTAGTGCTTGAAGAAGTAATTATTATTGTATTTAATAAAGTAATCCCCCAAATTGAAGAGGGGAGCTCTCTTCAATAATCCCAAGAGCTCCTCTTGATCTTCATCGTGTTCATCAGTTAATCACTTACTCCATCCAGTTAGGGTTTCATTTTCCCTTTTACCCTCATGTTCTTTCACTTTCTCTCTCACTTCCATCTGCAGCAACTTCCCAATTTTCACCAGGTGCTGTGTTTTTCTTTCTAGGGTTCTTCGATCCGACTAATTACTATAACTTCTAGTAGTAGTTGTTACTCGATAAAGAAATCAAAAAGAAAAGAGTAAAAGAAATGTCGTCAGCTGGGCTTCCTAGATCTTCGAGTGCTCCTTTGAAAGACGGCATCCCTCCTAAAGAACTCCTCGACGATCTCTGCAGGTATCCATGTTAATATATGTATGCATATAGTTTGTTTCTGTATCAGATTGAATTTCATGCTGTGGAATTAAAATTAGGGTTTTGAAAACTGATGCCCAGCTTTAGGATTCGTTTCATTTTTGTATTTCTTACACTTGTAGTGTTGTTTGTTTCAGTTAAGTTATAATTCACGCATTCGAATTTCTTACAATGAACCCTAATAATCTTTTCTCCTGAAATTACAGTCGCTTTGTTCTGAATGTGCCCAAAGAAGATCAACAATCATTTGAGAGGATCTTGTTTCTTGTGGAGTATGCACATTGGTTCTACGAAGACAATTCTGTAGAAAATAATCCATCTTTAAAGTCATTCACTCTTAAGGAATTTACCTCTTTAAGTATCCTTCACTACTATTTTTTTTTTTTTTCATTCTTAATGATATTAATCTCTATTTCTTGACTTCCTTAAACCTGTAATAGTGTTCAACAGTTGTGATGTTCTAAAGCCTTATGTCCCACATATAGATGACATATTCAAAGATTTCACATCCTACAAGGTTCGAGTTCCTGTAACAGGGGCAATTATTTTGGATCAAACATATGAAAGGGTATGTTTATGTTTTCTTATATATTAATCTTTCTTTTGGATATAGCTTTTTCTTTGATCCTTGATATATGCTGTGTATGCAGTGTGTACTAGTAAAAGGATGGAAAGGAACAAGTTGGAGTTTTCCAAGAGGGAAAAAGAACAAAGATGAGGAAGATGATGCTTGTGCAATCAGAGAGGTAAATAAAATAAAATAATCATTGTGTCTTGCATAATATTAATATAATCTCTTTTCAAGATTTGAAGAATGTTTCTTTTTGATTGGATACAGGTTCTTGAAGAAACAGGATTTAATGTTTCAAAACTTATTAACAAAGATGAGTTCATTGAAATGACATTTGGGCCACAAAGGGTGCGACTTTACATAGTTGGAGGTGTGAAAGATGATACCACATTTGCCCCTCAAACCAAAAAAGAAATCAGTGTAAGTAATCTTTTGATTTACATAACAAAAATAAAAATAAAAAACTCTTTTTATTTTGAATGTGTTGCAGGAAATTGCATGGCAGAGGCTTGATGAACTTCAACCAGCAAATCGAGATGTAATATCAAGAAGTGTAGCTGGTCTTAAGCTTTACATGGTTGCTCCATTTTTAAAGTAAGTAAAAAGTTTTGGATTAAAAATGTGTTAAATATGTTGTAGATTATATGTTCATGTATCTATTTCTTGCAACTAATTTATGAAATTTGGGTTCAATTAGGTCTTTGAGATCATGGATTTCTTCACATCAGCCTCCAATTGCTCCAAAACCAGATACACCTGCTAGAGGTTCATTTTCTCTCCATAAGTTTTCCAAATATACCCTTATATGCTTATTTCCTGCTAATGTCTTTTTATGTCGTTCTACATTTGAATCTTAACTTATCAGTTAGTTTGTACCAAATGTTGTTACTTTGGCTATGTTTGGCTTACTAGCTGAAAAGCTCGCTGTTAAAAAAACTAACTGATAGCTGAAAAGCTAGTTTATAAAAAATGGTGTTTGGTAAAGCTAGTTGAAAGATATAAAATGACATAAAAGGGCATTAAAAGAATGTGTTTCTATAATTAATTAAGGGGTATATTTGGAAAAACTTTAAAAAGCTCCTAAAAAGCTAGTCTAAGGCTATGTTTGGCGTACTAGCTGAAAAACTAGCTGTTAGCTGAAAAGTTAGCTGTTAAATGAAAAACTACCTGATAACTAAAAAACTAGCTATAAAAAATGACATCTGGTAAATTTAGCTGAAAGATGTAAAAGGACATTTAAAAGAATTTGTTTCTATAATTAATTAAGGGGTATATTTGGAATTTTTTTTAAAAAGCTCCTAAAAAGCTAGTCTAAGGCTATGTTTGGCGTACTAGCTGAAAAACTAGCTATTAAATGAAAAACTAGCCTAAAAAACTAGCTATCAAAAATAACATTTGGTAAAATTAGCTGAAAGATATAAAATAACATAAAAGGACATTTAATTAAGGGGTATATTTGAAAAAAAAAAAAACTCCTAAAATGCTAATCTAAGTAGCTTTTTAAAAAGCTAGCGTATAAGCTATTTTTTGGCTTGCCAAGCATGACAATTTAAAAAAACTCAAAAAATAAGCTAGTTTATCAGCTAGCTATAATGCACTAAACACAACCTTTATCAGCTAGCAGCTAGCTTTTCAGCTAGCAGCTAGCTTTTCAGCTAGTCTGCCAAACAGAGCCTAAATAAATATAGAATTATTTTATATTGACTTGATTTTGTTTTGTGAAGCAATGAGTGTGTGGAAGGCGAGGGGGAGTTCTTCAGGGACCAATTTAGTGATGGCAGAGACTCCATCAAACACTAACCCGGTTTCGGTTTCGGTTTCAAATTCATCAGAAAAGGTGGGCCCAGGTCGAAGCTTCAGGAGCTTTCAATTCAATAGTGGGCCCATATTGCAAGCCATTGAAATTGCCTTCTTGTGAATTGGTTGGGATTATTTTGTTGCTAAAACTATTAAGGTGTAAATTGCAAGGAGTATGTATATTTTGTATAGACTATTAGTCTATTATGGTGCTTTATGAATGGATATGTTGTTTTGATTCTGCTTCTGTATGAAACCTAAAATATGGTAATGGTGGAATTGAAGCGTAGGTGATGGTTATGTGGTGTTTTGGTTGTTAGTTGATCCAAATAGCACCATAATTGGTCTAACCTAATGTCAACATATATGAAGTGGGAAATTGTTGATTGTGATCAAAACGAGTGTTGTAAATGTTAATAATACAGGCTTTTTTTAATTTTTAAAACGTAAATGTTAAAAAACAGGCTTTTTTAATTGTTGATTGGATTGATTTATTTGGTTCGAATATTTAGATTTTTAGATTGATTTTAAGTTAAATTGAATTACTACTTTGGATTTTTATTTGTGTAATATATATCTATAATTATTTATAAATTTACTAAATTATTTTTTTAATTATTAGAAACTTTTTTTTTTTATAAATTTACTAAATTATTTTTTAATTATTAGAAACTTTTATCATCTAGTATAATAACTTAAATCAATTAAATATTAATTTATAATCATTTTTTCTTAATTGTTGTTTATAAATTATTTCATAATTAAAAAGTTATTTTAATTATTTTTATAAAGTTGACTAAGATTTAGGTAATATATTCTTTAAAATGTCCTGTCTTTTAAAAACCGATCAATTGAATTGTAATTTGATTGAATCATATTGTATTTGAATTTAATTTGTAATTTGATTGAATCATATTGTATTTGAATTTAATTTGGAGTATATGTTTTGAAAACCGAAATTTATATGGATTTACTTAATCAAATCAGAGATATAAATCCTTTGGGGATAATGTGATATGGGTACTTGGTCACCTTAAGTGATGGTTGAAATTGAAAAAGGAACATATTTATTTATGATACGCATTTTGCCACTTTAAAATGATTATCCCTATGTTTTCATATTGATAGGCTTGGGGTAGTTTTATCTTTTATGAAACCAGAAATTTGATTTTGGTTACTCGCTACATTATGTGTATGTAGCTTAATGTTTACTTTCATTTCTAAATGATTATCGGTACAGATACAGATAATACGAGTAGTAAAAACAGCATTAGCATTAACATCCCGTCGATCAATGACCACTTGTTTTAATTGATCCAAATATGAACTGTAATCAGCTTAATTAACACAAAAACAAGGAGCCCCAAAATATCCAACTAAAAAAAAAGTGACCACTACAAAATCCTAAAACAGATTCCTCTTTTTTTTTTTTTTTTTTTCCCTTTAAATTTGTAGCCCCTTAAATCCAGGCTCTAGCGACTTGCTAATACTAGCCTCTTCATTTCCTGTTGTAGTCTCTGCTAATTTACTTTTACTCTCTTTATCTTCTGTCACTAATGCTGACATGGCAACCGGCTTCATCACAGAAGCTCCAACATTCTCCTTCGATTCAGAACCCGAGAACGCAGGAACCGCCTGTCGGATGGTGACCGGAGGTGCTCCACCTCCACCGCCACACATAGCTGGCGGCCTCCCAAACTGCGGCGGTGCTCCGGCCATACGTGGCGGCGGAAGTGGCGGAGCGGAGAAGACGGGGATCGTGTTGCGGATAGTCACCGGTGGCGCGATTCCACAGTGAGTCGGCCGGAAGTGCCGGACAGGGATATACGGTGCGGCTCCGATCGCCGGAAACTTGTGCACGCGGTGGTCCGGTGGCGGTGGCGGTGACGGTGATGGTGACAGTTCGTTGGTGGTGGGAACTCCAAATTGCTTTTGAGGGGCGTTATTGTCTTTTCGACGGGTTTGAGCCATTTTGGGGCAAATTAAAGGAAGGATTTTTGAAGTTGTGGAGGGAGGAGGTTGTGTGGAGTGTGTTTTTGGTTTTGGAACTGGAAAACGGATTGGGAAGGGTATATTAGTCATTCTAGCTTTTAATCTGAATTTTTGTAAAGCACGTGCCACAATAACATGCTCTTGCTCTTCTGTGTTTCCTTTTTGCAATGCCAAGCTTTCTGATTGCTGTGTTACTGAAAGAGGATAAAATATAGAGGGTTAAATAGGTAATTATGCATATGATGTTAAGAATTAAGAATAGAAATTGGATGACTTACAGAGTTTTAGAGAAGACCATGCTGACATGGCAGCATTCTTTTCAGCTTGTTTCTTGTTTTTGGCTGGTTCTCCTGTAAATATACAACCAGCCAATTCTACAGTGCAGGTGAAAACAGGCAAATGGCCAAGGCCTGATCTAAAAGTTGTGTATGTTGGTAATGACGCCCCTACCCTTTGAGAAACCTCTTGCAAAAGATTCTTATACACCCCGGTTTCATCCTGCAACAACAAATCAGTTAAGGGCAATAATGTCATTTGCCATTTCCATCGATTTTTTTTCCCTTTTATGTCATATAGATTTGCCTAAGAGTATTCGTTCAGTAATGGTTGAGAGCAGCAAAAGATAAATTTTGATTTTGAAGTTCCTAGATCGACATTAAAAGTTTCCTAATTTGATGTTCAAAATCATATCAATGCCATATGATACTCATACTCTATGAATCCCCAAATGCACACCACATAGCCTTTTACATTTCTAACATTTTCCCCATGTTCAGCTAATATGGCCTCTTAGCACCCATAAATTAGAAAATCAATGGTGGTCGAGAAAGACGGGTTCTCATATAACAAAAATCAACTTGATGATACCCAAATCTAAAATCGCAAGTTTATCCTATCGGAAGCCAACTAAAAAAGGAAACCCCCAAGAGAATTTTTAAAAACAATGAAAACAACACTCCTCTTCGCAGTTGAGTTTTACTTTCTAAATTGAGAATAATAAACCTTCCCGTCATCATGACTAGAAACATCGATTTCAGAAATAGAAATTGAAGAAAAAAAAAAAAAAATCCAAAAGTTTAAAACTTACAAACCCTAGAAAGTGTTGAAGACTCACCAGTATCCTAGCAGCCAAAGAATTAGAAGGACCTCGACACGCAAGTTCATTAAGAGCCACCTCCGCGGCAGAGTGCTCCGCCTGCCTCAAAGTCGTGCAGTAGTTAGGGCTCTCATACGTCTCGCCGTTGAAATTAACAGCCGCCTTGAACCGCGGAGCGTGATCTGGACCTTCTCTTATGCAGGTATACGACGGCAAATTAAAGCAGCTCCTCTGGGCCAGCTCTTGCAGCTGGTTCTTATACATCTCTTCCCTCTCTGAGATCAAACGCCGTTAAAGCTACGAAAACAAGTCCGATTAGCTTCGACCAAACCGTTGATTGATAATGCCGATCATAGATTCCGATTCATAGATTCTCCAAACACGATCCAATGTGTTCTAGGGTTTTGATTTCACTAACAATGCATGTATATTCATATATCTGTATGTATATGTTTGGTGTAGAGAGAGAGAGAGAGAGAGAGAGAGAGAGAGTAAAACAAGGATGTGATGAGAGAGAGAGTGGAAGAAGTACAGTGTGTTGTAAATTTGGGTAGGAAGTGGTCGCCCTCATGATAAGATAATTGACTGCTTGACTTGGGGACCTCGGATTTTCAAATGTTTGTGCATTTGCTTAACCACTGTCATTTTGAGGATCTAATCTGAACCGCTGGTTACTTCTAGGATGCAGGAATTTTTCATTATACACACCATTACTTTGACGTAATTGACATTTTTATTCCATAATTATAGACCTATTTAGTAAAATATAGTCATTACAATAAATTTACAAAAATAACATACAACATATTTTAATAGAGGGTGTACTCTTCTTTGCTTCTCATTTTTACTCACTTAAGTGTAACTTAATGGAATAAGAGTGTCTAGTTGGAGGGGTGAATGAATGGAAACGTCTAAGGGATTGTTTGGTAGCCTCTTAATTGAAAAATTAAGAGGCAACCTCTTAATTATTCAGATTTAAAGTGTTTGTTAGCAACTTAATTTATGTCTCTTAATCTGTCATGTGCCTCTTAATTTTTCAGATATGTAGACAAGTCTGAAATAAAAAAGTACACGCTCCTATCCAAGCTTGCCCTTCACTTTTCCCAGTCCCCTCTTCTCTTTCAACACACACGACGCTGCCTCCCCTACTGCATCTCCGAACTGCAACCAGATGACCGGCCCTTCCGCCATCAGCCGGCCACCACTCCTCCAGAGATCTCTCCTCCGCCTTTGCCTCCGTCGGTGACGTTGCCTCCGCAACTACCGCCATCGCCGAAGTGAAGCTCTACAGGTCTCTCGTCAACAACACAAGTAACTGTTTTCTTTCCTTAAAACTCGATTATTTTCATTGGAATATTTGTGATGTTGGTAGAAATCAGATTCTTTTCTTGAAATCATATACTTTGCCCTAATGTTCGTAAAATTTCTTACCTAGCTGTATCTGTTAATGACTTTACTGCTTAATTGAGATGAAGAATCTAATGAGAATAACTATGAGGATGTGAAATCAGACCTTAAAATTGGGTTAATGAATTTTCTGATTGATTTAACTTCAAATTTTCGTATTTTTTTTGTCTTTACTTCAAGTTTTTGATTTTTTGCAACTCTTGAAGGAATTTGGAAACTATGAAGTGATTATGTAACATTTTGCTCCTCCTTTAGTATTTCAATTTTCTTTCCAAAAGCTGTTAAAATACTCACGTGATTTGTCAAATCCTAATTGCATATTCAATCACTAAACAACAAGCTGAAATTGATGGAAAGGCATGTGCAGTTGTTAGACAAAATGGAAAGGGGTGCCATCACACTTTCATCCCAAGAAATCAACTCAAGTGCAGCTAGTACATTTAGCAGCTTATATTTTGTCACGATTTTTGTTTAGTTAAACCTGAAATTACTGTATTTATGTTTGATTTTGATCATTGTGTAACTTTGTTTTATGTTTGGTTTACATTTTATATGTTGTTTAAACATTTTTTTTGTAATAATCAATGAGCTGTTTTGGTTATTTTTTAAACCAGAAATATTGAATTTAGCAATAGATAATAAAAAAGGGTAAATTTGTCATTTTTATTATTTTGCACAACAATTCAGAGGATTCAACCAAACGGCATGTTAAAAATTCAGACCCTCTTAGAAATTCAGATCTCTTAAAAATTTAGATCTTAAAAATTCAGATCCTATCAAACAGCCCCTACGTTAAAGGGGGTGAATGAGTAGGAGCGGCTAATTTGGGTTAATAAGCAACTATATGTGAAATTTAGATGTAAAAGAAATAAAAAGTAATTTACTCTTATTGATAAAAAGTGGAAGAACTATACTAGACTTATATATCCAAAATTATTCTAGAAAAAAAAAATGAAAAAGAAAAGTAAATAAGTTTATCCTAATACTTTATATAGAAAGTAAAAATCTTGTAAAGCCGGGGAATTGGGAAAGGATACAAATTATGCTCCTCAACACTCCTTCTTAAGTTGGATTGTGGAGATCTCGAACATCCAACTTGCTACGTAAGTATTGGAACTATTTTGCACCCAATGTTTTGGTTTAGGGTCATTTCTAATTTGTTGTGGATTCATTTCTGGTTTTGGGCATGATCTAAAGTTGTAACTTCCTCTAGCACCTTATAGTCATAAAGTTCTAACCTTTAGCAAGTTATGGCCCTCTCCTTACCTAAAACTTCTTCTTTAGCTTGGTTTTGACCTTTAAGACCTTGCATGCACGTAAAGTTTGCAACTTTACGTGATAACTATACTTTAGGAAGCTATATCTACAATTTAGAGCTTTGGGATGGCTTAAAAACATCTGAATGATAAATTAACTAAAGGGGCTCGACGAGTTGCATGGTCAACTCGACGAATCAGATGAAGATTGGCCATTTTTGGTTCTACATGGATCGGCAAGTCGGTGAGATGACCCAACGAGTTAGTTAGGGTTTTTCCGACATTATGGACACCACATGGACTCGACGAGTTGTCTGGAAATTTGGCGAGTCAACTGGATTTTTCACGGTTTCCCAAGTTCTGAAGGAACTCGACGAGTCAGTTACTACACTCGACGAGTTAGGTCAACATGGATTGTTAACCTTGACCATTGACTTTGAGTTTGACCAATGGTTGATCGGTTTGACTTTTGGAGGGTATTTTAGTAATTTAGAAATTTATGGAAGTGGATTATTGGTGGATATAGGTGTTTGAGTTTGGAGTTGTGCTTGGGAAGTTTGACATTTATCATCCCGAGCTACTTGTGAGGTGAGTTTTCCTCACTATACTCGAGGATCTAAGGCATCAATGCCGACCCTTTTTGGATTGTTATCCTGATATGTTATATGCTCGAGTATCGTAGAATCTGTTAGATTAGTATCCTTGTAGATAGGATGTTATTATGCTTTTATGATCTGTTAGATCAACATCCTGGTAGATATGATGATATTATGTTATTATGATCTGTTAGATCGGTATCCTGGTAGAAGGATGTTATTATGTTGTTATGATATGTTAGATCGGTTTGTCTGTCTATAGACTGTTATGTGATTATCTGATATATGTGCAAATGTTTGATTGGTGGTTGAGGCTTATCTAATTGTGCGAGAGCTAACAGACCTGGGCATTCCAACCCGATGGTTGTAGGTCGTGAGTATTCCATCCTGAGGATGATTGGACTCATAGTATGTGGGCATTCCAACCCGATGGTTATGGGCCGAGTGTATACCATCCCGAGGATGACTGGGCCCATAATATGTTGGCATTCCAACCCAATGGTTGAGGTCCTGGGGCATTCCAACTCGATGGTTGATTGGGCCCATAGTATGCTATCATTATATGTGTGTTACTTGTTGTGCGGGTATTTTGGGGGAACTCACTAAGATTTGGGCTTACATTTTTGGATTTTTTTTCATGTACTTTAGATGATTGCGGGAAGGCAAAGGCGTGATCGTGCACCTCCTCACATTTTTATGATCTTGATTTCTGGGATACTCTGATGTCTTAACTATTTTGAAAACACTTTGTAATAGCTTAATGGTTTTGAATGGTTGAAAGAGTTTTAAATTGGTTTGATTTTTATGGGTGTTACAAGTTGGTATTAGAGCGTTAGTTTGAGTGAATTGGAGGAACACTTGTGTGAATCCAATCTCAAAATAAGGAAAAGAATTTCAAAATGGTTTTCAAAATAATTAAAGGAGGATGCAGAGTGTATGATCAGCCGAAGCCAATAAGTAGACCCCAAAATACCATGCAATTATTTGATACTGTGATATATTATAACAACATGCTAGTGATAGGATAGGGATCTTCAAGAATTGAATGATAGAATTGCCTGATTATATGATGCATGATAACCTAGGATTTCTTTATATGAAATTGACATATTTACTGTAGTTGCTTAGTGTATGCATCATAGTTATACATAATTAAGATCTTATAGCTTGAGAATGTTTGGTTTGGCCTTATTTCCTGTTCTTGTCTGATGAAGGGCTTAGGGTAGGATCAGGTTTTCGAAAGTCTATAGGGTCCATCGTTATGTATGACTAGCATACACTAGTGCTGTAGGGATGGTGGAAGTTTCATGGGTGAGTTGTGCGGGGTTAGTCAGCCAGTTATGATATACTTAACCTTCCTTTAGGAGTGAGGATTGAGTGCTCACCATACATATGTATATTGTTAGGGTGTTGTGATGATACTTGAGACAAATATGGGTTGGTGTGGAAGGCAGTATGGGTTCGTACTACTGAAAGCACATAACCCATACGCCTAGCAAGGAAGTCACAACCCCTAGGGTTTAGTTGGGAGTTGGTTCCCTGATATTTATGCAGATTATCTGATATCTTCCTGGTGCATTTTCAGTATGGTGGTTACGAGGCAATATGTGACTGGATCCGGATCGAGATCAGGACAAGGCAGTTAGGGTGCCCCGACAGTGCCCGAGACTATCGGCTAGGATAGGCTAGGGTTGACAAAGGATTGTGTCAGGGAGATCATCCGCGAGGAGGTGGTCGAGATTGTCCGAGGTCAGATTCTGAAGATGTTTGAGTCTATTAAGACCGCCATGATGGAGTATTTTGATGACATATATGCAGAAAATGCTGAGACTGTGGCTGTTGCAGCCTTTACAGCAGTGACGGCTACGGGTACAGGGATAGAGCGAGCTTTTCAGTACCGGGACTTCGATAACACGAAGCCCCTGACCTTCGATGGAACTTAGGATCCGATCATAGACATGAGGTGGTTGTCTGACGTGGAGGGATGTTTCTTCACGTGCTCATGTACTGCTGACCAGAAGGTCAAATGTGCCCTAAACTTGCTGAGGTCCAGGGAAAAGGACTAGTGGAGGTTGATGAGTGGGGCGTATACTGTAACGCCCGTAGATCCGGGCTAGTCGATTTAGAGGTAATAGAGGTCAAAAATTACTTTTAGACAAAAGATTATTTAGAACCAAGTTGTAGAATATGTCACAAGGTTTCCGTACATATAAAGAGTGTCGAAATCCGAGTTATAACGAAGAAATTATGACCCGTCGAAGTTTCACGACGGAACCGGCACGACACCGGAAAGCTTAAATAGTGATTTTACGATGGAGGACTTTTTAGCATTAGTGATCTAAACAAAAGTGGTAGAATATGTTAAACCGAGAAAATCCATAAAAAGAACGCCCAAATCTGACTGCGTATGAAGAAGTTATGATTTTTCTAAGATCCGGCTTAGTAGTGCACGACCCGAAACTCGAATTTTAGTTCGAGCGGTTTTTGGCTTACGTGACTTAAATAAGAGTTGAATATCTCATCAATAGGAACTTAATAGTAAAAAGACAGATGAAAACAGAGTCTGTATGAAGGAGTTACAAATTCTTTGCGGTCATTTAACAGTCTAAACGCCTCGTACTGTTAAATTTAAGATCGGTCGAGAATTAGCCAACGGAGTCAAAATGAAAGTTGTAGATATTATTTTTACCTACGCGTGGATATAATGAACGTCAAAAATGGAGGTCGTATGTGAAAGTTACGGATTTTAGAAGTCGGAAGTGTGCTGTGCGAAAATGGATGATGTGGCACAATCTTGGCCATTGCTTTCTCCCCAAGTCTTACCACTAGATGGTGACATGTGGCACCAAGGTCAGCCATTTTCATCCTATAAATAGAACCTCTCCCACCCTCATTTTCTTCATACCTTTCTCATTCTTTCTTCTCTTTACTCTCTCTCTCTAGAACCTCTCACTAGCCCCGAAACCCCCCGAAAAGCCTAGGGAACCTCCCTAGCACGAGGCGGAAGCCCT